AGGCTAAAGAATTTGGGGGATTGTAGATACAGCCAATAATTGCCTTTCTTTGCGGCGAGAGAATAACAGATGCAAAGCAGAAGTTTCCCGTGAATGAGGAATCATCCAAGTAATAGGGAGAGTGCTTTAGGTAGGATTTAAGATAAAGAAGACAACCACCCCCACGCCTAGTCGTGCGGACTTGGCGGTAAAAATCGAAGTCATCTATGAGAAGGGCAGAGTCAGGAATTAGAGAATGGGTCCAAGATTGTGTTACACATATAATATCAGGCGTCATTTCCAGAGCAATGGCGCTGATTTGGGCCATCTTGTTTATAACAGACCTGGCATTTAATAATATAATATCTAATGTGTTTCGAACGGCAATGCTATTTTCGACGGTATTTTAAAAAAATAATTTGGAGGCGGATATGTAAGCTGTGAATTAATGACACTTGGAGACATTCGTCTTACCAAGAACGTTGCCGGCTTACAGGCCTCGATCCGTTATGGTTCCGTAGATTACAAAGGGGACTATTTTTGCTATTTAAACTCTTATATAATCACACATTTAACCCACTCACTTCTTTAAGACATCATATCCACCCACGACGTAACAGTCACCGTGAGGTCTTTTTATTTCTGCCTCTGGCACGTACTGTTAAATATCGTCGGTTCTTTTCTGTAAATGCAATTGCTATTTGGAATAAACTACCCATGAGTGCGAAAACTCTGCAAAATTATCCGTTATTTAAGAGAACTATTACTCGATTTTTGCATTCAGAAAAGCTCTCACAAATTCTGGGTGCTGAAAACTCTGATCGACTGTACCGTAGCGATGGCGTTCGTGGTCTCTGAACACTATGGCCGGTCTCACCAGCTGTTCCTCAACGCCTCTATTTTGGCTATCCCCAACTTCATGATAGGAATTTGACGTCCGAAAATCTCCGATACCGTGCTACCTCCCCCCCTCTTGACGGTCGATATTCTACCACCGCCGGCAGTTTTTTCTCCTGAGCCATCCAAACCATTAAAACCACCATCAACTATATTTTTATCCCTTTAGCTCAGGAGTTTTTTCACTGCCGGTCGGATTTATGTTTAAACGCTTCCCTTGACAATGCCTGTAAACTGGCATTAAATAAAAATTTATTTATTTATTTATAAATTTATTTAGAGTTATTGACGTACGGGGAGTCAGCAAGAGAAGGCTGATTATGAGACCTAAAGTATGTGGGGATATAGTTTTCAAACATTGGAATGCTAGGGCAGTTAGAACATGGATAGACTTGTTGGTAGTTTAATAATGGAGGAAGGGGAGGAGGAGGGAGGCTAGAAGGAAAGTAGGGGCTAATGGGTGAGAGTAGGCCACTAAAAGAATGAAATGGTGGGAAACCAGGTCTAGATTGGAAGTCAAAGGAGATAGGTTGACGTACCTGAGAGCAATTGGCCTTAAGTGGTGGGAAGCCTGAACTAGGTTGGGGCATAAATGATTTAGGGCAATTCATGTATGAATTATCTGCTGGATATATATTAGGGCTTTGATAAGTAACCGGTACGCAGGACGGAGAATTATTCGGGGATATAATTGGAGCTGCGGGGTTTGTAGACGTGCTGGGCTGAACAGACTTGGTAGATCTAAGATTCAATTTTCGAGTCTCACCGTTCTGACGCCAAGCCACGGGTGACTTAGCTGTAGACCTTACAGCACCCAGCACCTAGAAGTTATCGGTCTAGCTGATGTAGACGGATTTTCATGTGTCTCAGCGGGACTATCCGGAGGATACGAAACGACAAATGGGGGCTGCTGCTGCTGCTGTTGCTGTAAGTTTATGGACAGGCAAATGCGTCAAGTGGTTCGAGTGAGATGGAGATGTAGGAGAAAGAGGAAGGAGGGAGTCAGATGTCGCAGGAGTAGGACAAGCTGAATCCTTACGGCCACTTGTATTATGACCGAGTTGGGGAGCATTAGACTGAGAAGCAGTGGGTTTACGTGAGAATAGAGACCCCATTCTACGCTCCATAGGAGTAAGATCATGACAAAGGAAAAATTTTGCCTTCTCTAGGTACGCAGTGACACGCTCTCGATGGGCAAAGATTGTGTCAACTTCGATTGATGAAAACAATTTGACTAAGATGGGTGGATTTGTACTACGGGAGGACAAGCGTTTGGCATCGGCTATTTTATAGTTGAAACCACATGAATACAGGAAATTGGTCGCAGCATCAATTGGCCGAGCAGATCGAAGAACATTTTTTAGCAGGAAGTTGTAAGAACGCTTCTGTCTATCACTAGATTCGCTGGCGATCAGGTGAACAAGTGTGTCGAGACACCTCCATTCTTCAGAGGGAATATCGGAGATGTTCCCGTCGAATAAATGTCCAAGAATTGTCAGCAAAGAGCCAAACTTTAGCATAAAGTCATTGCAGTGGTCAAGTGCAGACAGATTAAGCTGCCGACCAATTTCAACGGGTGACGACTGACTAGTAATATCATCTGACTTAGATTTAGGTAAAGCTTCTGACTTACGTTTAGTTAGGCCATGTTTACTTACAAGAGCCGAGAGCTTACGTCGACCAGTGACTTTTGGTCTCATCTTGTCTCGAGGCAATTTCTGATTAAGAAAACTTCTGGCAGACAAGTTGACTGAATTTCAGCTAGGGGCTAACGATGTAAAAATAAATTACAACAGTTAGAGCGAAATCGGATGCACAAAATGAGAATTGCAGAGTGCGATTAGTGAACAACGGGCATAGACTAGCAGAACTCTGAGAGAAGAGGCCTGTATTTAAGGAAATTCAACCAAAAAAACAGGTACTAAAATCGTTAGGTCTCACAGATAAACCACTTAAAATAATATCCTCCACTTATCTTCAAATTTAAAACCAGCGGCTTATTGCGGTGTCCGGATCGGTACTTTGTGCAACTGCCCAATGATAACGAGTGGGTTTGCTGATTGCAGCCGCCGTTATGTGTTCGTCCGTCACTTCTGTTCTGCTGTGCCGGCATCACTTTGGCGGAGAGAAAGGACGTCGGCGTTGTTGTGTTGGTGGCCTGGTGATATGGTCGATATTGACAAGTGAAATCGAACTCCTGCAGTAATTCCTGCCATCTCGCAAGCTGGCCTTCGGCTTCTTTCATGTTTTGTAACCACTGTAAGGCCTTGTGGTCGGTGCGGACAATGAAATGCTTTCCCACTAAGAATGGCTTGAATAGTTTGGTAAATGTAATCAGCGCTAACAGTTCTCGTCGGTAGGTGCAGTAGTTTCGCTCGGGCTTCGATAGGGTTTTGCTCGCAAAGCAAATCGGTCGCTCGGCCCCTGTCTCGTCGGCTTGTGAGAGTACGCCCCCGATCGCGAACCCGCTGGCGTTGCTATCGAGTATGAAGGGGGGGCTCAGGACACGTGTCATGTAGCATTAATATGGGTGCCGAAGTGAGTTTTGCTTTTAACTCATCGAAGGCCTGTTGACAATCGTCGGACCATGTAAATGAGCGACCCTTTTCGGTCAACCGATGTAGGGGGCGTGCGAGCTCCGAAAAGTGGAGGATGAAAAAGCGATAGTAGGAGGCCAGGCCGAGGAAGCCTCTGACTTCTGTTGGAGTCTTCGGCGTAGGCCATGATCTGACTGCATCTCCTTTTTCCTACGACGCCTGTATGCCTTGCGGTCTGACTTTGTGACCAAGAAATGTGACTTTTCCACACAGAAACTTGCACTTTTGTGGATTTAAACGCAAGCCGGCGTCGCGGAGAGCAGAGAGCACTGCGGCGAGGTTAGCGTTATGTTGCCGGACCGTGCGTCCAAACACGATCACATCATCGAGGTATATCAAACAGCTGTGAGGGTATAAATGGGCCAGGACGGACTGCATCAGTCGTTGGAAGGTTGCGGCTGCGTTACAGAGCCCGAACGACACGGTTTCGAATTCGAACAGCACTTGTGGTAGTATAAACGCTGTTTTTGGGCGGTCTTTAGGTTCCACTTCAACTTGCCAATAACCGGACTTCGGGTCCAACGTGGAGAACCATTGGGCTCCGGCAAGCGCTTCGAGTGTGACATCAATTCTTGGAAATGGGAAAGAATCGCGGGTATTGACCGCATTAAGTCGTCTATAGTCTATACAAAATCGGAGTTTGCCGTCTTTTTTGGGCACTAATGTGACTGACGATGCCCACGGAGACTTGGAGGGGCGGATTATCCCTGCGGTAAGCATCGTTTGAATTAGGTCGTTCACCTCCTTCTGAAAGTGTGGGGGAATGCGGCGTGGTGGTTGCCACAGAGGTTTCGACGTGCCTGTGTCAATGCTGTGACGAATGCCAGCGGTGGAACCTAAGGAGGTATCATCCCATGCGAAAATATCGCTAAACGCAGTCAGGAGTGACTTCAATTCTTCCTTCTCAGTAAGGGCGACCGTATCGTCTGGGAGTAAGACCGTGTCTACACTTGTGGGTGGTAAGGCTACCGACGCTGCGATGGCCGCGCCGGTGGCTTCTTCGTCAAACTCGGCGGCTGTTGGGTGATTAGGCAATGACTTATGCCCTAAGGATAGTATGTGATCTTTGACCATAATACCACAGTTATGTGCAGAAAGGAAATCTAGGCCGAGTATAATGTTCAGCGACATCTTGTTAGTGACGACAAAAGCTTGTTCCTTAACGATGGCTGTAAAGGAGATGGGCAGTCGAACCATCCCTAACGTGGTCATGAGTGACCCGTCTGCGGTTTTGAGGTGTGGTGAACGACCGATTTGTCTGGCGAGGCTAAGCCACTTAGAGTCTAATACATCTGCCTGAACTATCGACGTGGTTGCACCTGTGTCGACTAGAGCCTTAATGTGTTCGTTGTCTAGGTAAATCGTCGTGTAAAACAGTGAACTATGTGATGTGTAATCAAAGCAGACGGGAATGATGTGGTTACATTCCTTGGTAATCGTCGCCGCAGTACTGCCTCTATCTCCCCGGAATTGTCTTGGCTCAGTGTTGAACGATGGGGGTCGATAGGACGTGCGGAACGTGGAGGGTCAGCTGCCGCTTTTGAATCGTTGTGAAGGCTGGTAGTACGGTCTGGTCCAGGTGTTGTTCTGTTGCCTGCGGTCTGGCGTTGATTTCCACGGTTCAGCCGGGGAGTGCTCATCGCCTGTTGGGGTGTCGGTTGTTAGCATGCTGGATGTCCGCTGGATGGCTTCGTTGAGGTCGCCCGGTGGCTGAATCCTCAGAGAATACGTCACCTCTTGGGACCCGAGGCCGCGTTTGAAGTGGTGAAGGACCACTTGGTCTCTATCGGCCGCTGACAGTGAGGGGTAGGCGTCGCGTGCGAGGCGGAGTAAGGCGTCGACGAACTGCCGAGGGGTCTCATCGCTCCTTAAGGAACGTTTTAGTACCTGGTCAATGGCTTCCTCTATGGACCATGGGGGTTGGAATAGCCTCTGTAATTGGTCGCACGGCACCTGGAAAGGGCTATGGCGGATGAGGCCGGCATCGAGTGCCTTGTCCATCTGGTCGTCTGCTAGATGTTGAAGTACCGTACGGCTGCGTTCGTTTTGTGGAACATCGTCTAGGTGGAACTTAAGCGGCGAAGCCAGCACGAAAAATCTTTACTCCCGTCGTAGGGTTTAAAATAAGACGGAATAGGGTTTCTTGTACTGTTTTTAGGCTGCGGGCTCGGGTCGTCCTCTGCCACCATTGTAGCGTCCGACCTCGAAAGGGATTCGGTGGCCGAGAGTTCACTCGCGTCCTTTTGGGTTGCCTGGGATGGAACGTCAGAAACTGGGGCACGCTGTCCGATTTGTGAACCATTAGGATCGTCTTTTCAAGTGTTCATTATCGAATAACAATCTTCAAGCACACGATAAGCCGCGTAGTACTCTAAGGTTTATTGAGGAAGGGAAAAAGGGGAACGTAGAACGAGGGCAAAACAAAGGGATATCTATTAGTCCAACAAAACGTTAGTTTCACAATTGTTAGGGGAGGTGGAGTTGGATGCTGCCACCGGTGAGGGGGAGTCTTCTTCTTCACGCACCTCGACTAAAAAAACAAGAGAAAGCAAACAGATAGAGTCCAGACACCAGGCACCCTTGCTCTCAAACTTAGCGCCCTTGTATATGTATATATTGAAGGGTGACAGGCAGAGCCCTTGATGACCCTATTTATGTACAGTGCTTTCGCAGATTTATACTCAAAAATAAAATAAAATTGCCGGAATTTAAAAGGTGATTGGGTCACAGTTCAATCGTAATCATAAGGTAGTGCATAGGGTCAATGTTAATTTGTGCGGAAGATTGTATATGACAGATTTTACAAAACTGGCTGTGCATAGTCATGCTGTTAAAGCCGACTTCTGTCGAAAACTAGACGCGCAAGTTTTCTTTTAAACACACAAACTGTGTCAGCCGTCACCATCTGGCTTGGAAGCGAGTTCCACGGTCTGACAACCCGCTGGCGAATGAAAATTTTTGACGGTCTATCCGCGTGCGCTTATTCCTGACTTTGTAGGCATGGCCGCGTAGTTGGCTTGTACGGGCGAACTCAAAGAAGTCCATCGCTCTTAATGAGCAACCCTGGCCGCGGACAATCCGGAACGTCCAAAGTAGACTGCGGCTTATCTGTCTATAAGAAAGAGGGAATAGGCCAAGCAAATTCAGCCTCTCCTGATAAGACAAATGCTTTAAACCGTCGACCATCTTTGTCGCTCTGCATTGCACCTGGTCGACTAAGTCGACGTTTTTCCTCATCCATGGTGAAGCTGTTGGCATTCCATACTCCAGATGAGGTCTTACAAAGACACCAAAGGGTCTTTCGAAAAGTTCAAGAGGAAATATTTTAAATGCAGGTCTGCTCCAGTGTAGATTACTAGTTGCCTTCTGTACCATCTTTCTACAGTGTTCTGATGGTGATAGATTTTTGGTCGTCAAGGGAGAGAAAGAGAGAGGAATGCTTTATTTTGAAAATAACTTTCAAAACTTTCAGAAAAACCGTTCTCCAATACACAGTGATTACCATAGAGATTAACAGGTAGTGGACAGGTGGACATAATTTTATATGAAGAAAAAAGGACTTTAAGGTGCAAGCTCGAGTTTAATTTTTTTGTTCTTCAACATCTTTGCAGGTGAGATACCGGGCTAGAAATGGCAGTATGGAATTCTGATAAGCCGAAATGCGACAAGGGATGTGGCGGATGCATCGAGGCATGGGGCGTAAGGATTTCGCAGCCATTAACTCATTATGAAGGGGATGGACGGTGTCATTCAAAATTCGGTCAGCGAATTGCTCCACCGGGTTGAAGTGTTGCTGCACGATGATATCAACTAAAATATGATAGGAAACACCAGCAGCAGAGGCGAGCATTTGAATGACACGTTTAAAAATTACTAGATCTTTTTTAAGTAAAGCTGGAAAAATAACTGGAATACAATAAAGAATGAGTGGAAGAATACAACCATCTATGAATCGCCAGATTAAGGACTGGGATGTGTGATATGTACGTAGACGATGAATGTAATAAACAAGTTTTTTGAATTTTCGTTAAAAGGGTTTCCATATGAAGAGAGAAAGAGAGATTTGAGAATAAAGTAATACCTAGGTACCGGAAAGAAGATACTTCATTGGGAAGAATATCCAAAGGTTCAGGAATGGGAGGGGGTTGCAATCGAAACACACGCTGTACTGTCAGTACACCCAGATCTTTGTGTCTT